GCATAGCTTTTTACTGCAAATGAATCATTCAGTGATTACATAAAACAAACTTAAATATTGATTTGTTGCTCTTAAAATAATGTAAAATCAATTTTAATATTTGGTATAAATTTTTATGCGCATATTTTAGTGCCTATTTTGGAAGTTTTTCAGGCGTAAATGCATACATATATTTATTAGGCATAAAAATCCGGTCTCTAATTATAACCCAGTAGATTCACATCATTGGCATAGCCCAGCAGATGTTGCTGCATCCCATTTAATTTCAGCCCCACCTGGTGGTGGAAACTGCTGTGCTTCTGTTTTGTGGCTCTAACATGTGGTGTGTAATGCCACCGATGTGCTTGCGTATTCCATGGTATAGGGTAGCTTCTCCTGTTGTGTTATGTGTCTACACACAACAGTGACATTTGTTGAATAATAAATAATATGCAACAGGATACTATAATATAATATTATATATTGTAGAAATGAAAAACACATATAAATTTTTGTCACAGAACCTCAAGTACAGAATCACTGGTGATCTAGGCAAAAGCTGAAGGTCAATGTTAAAATGTATCTTTGGGAAATAAGGTGTGAAAGTGTAATCTGCATTTAACTGGTTCAGAACAGGGTACAGTGCTGAGTTCCTGTGAACACAGTTATAAATGCCTTAGTTCCTTGGAGGCAGGGAATTTTATGCCAGAGGAACTGCCACATTTTCAAGATCATGGAAGACCTTGTACCATGGACCTTTGCTCATAACATAGTAGAACATAAAAAAATTAAAAAAGACCAGTCCCTTTTAGCATAGCATAACACAGTAAAATCTTATTTAGTAATATGGCTTCCACCACATAATTTTGGAATTCTCCTCCAGGTACCACCTACATTGTGGATCTCTAATTTTCTTTTCCAGGTTTACAATAACATCACAAACAACAAGCCTATGTGTAATTTGTCTACTTTAAGCAGTTTCTAATGTGTGCTCCCAGGTGGATCACACACCACATAGAGTATGGCAGACAATATGTTATAATTAAAATACCCAGAAAAAATGGGCTGATAGCTCCATGGACTTGTATATCAAATTGAATGTGAAAAGGGTTAACTCAATATTACTCACTTTGGTCAGTAACTTTTTCATCCCCTTCCAGAGGGTGCACAATACCAGGACTAGGATCTCCAAATGAGAATCGGTTGATACGATGAGTGAAATTGTAGTCTGATTCAGACAAGAAGGCAGATATGTGTATATGGCCCCGAGGAAGAGCTAATGAATGACCAGCCGTGATGTGGAAATTGCCTGCTACCTTGTTGAGAATGAGGGACCCAAATATACGACAGGCATCTGATGGAGTAGATGGTGTCACAGATCTGAAAGTTATATAAATGCTAATTACTGGTTAAACACAAAATGGAATAAGAGACTTGCTCACATCTCAACTTTAGTAAAAAATATTAAAGTTCATGTATATTTCTGACTGAATCATTTACTGTTACTTAAAGTTTTACGACTTTTTTGGTATCATGGCAAGTCCATCGCCATACAACCTCATTTCTACATAGGACTTTTCAAGACATATTTTACGCCTCCCCATTATACAACTCATTGATAAAGCCTGCCAGGGTCACCTCATTTCAGCCCACTCCACCACAACCAATTTCTGTAAGGAACATTTCAATATTAACATTCCACCTACGTGTTCTTCCATGTATCTTCTTTCTTAAAATCAAATATGAGTATGCATTTATCATTTTCTCTAGACTTCTTGAATATATCATCCATTACTTAAATAAACTGGGAACATTTTATTCTGAAAATTTATGCAATGTGTGTCCATGATATTGGAGGAGAGTAATTCAATTTGTGCTTTGAAACTCTAATATTTATGGGATACCTGTGCTAACCTTCTAGGTAGGTCCCCAAAAAGGGTAGACTGGCCTGACCTCCACAGAAGTTCCTGAATTGCATGAAACTCCTCTCGAAGATATGAATTGACCTGACGCATCCCATCAAAGTGTAACCGTTGCTGTGGAGATAACTCAAACCATGTGTCTTCCTGCTCCAAGCTGCCAAACTGCAGTACATTCTGACCGGTCGAGTCCAAAATATCGGCTCCAATAACTATAAGAAATAACAACATATAGAACTAAACCAAATTTACATCCAAAGCACAACTAATTCTTCACTAACTCATTGATATGCTTCAACAATAGATTCTGTACAGGATGAAATAACTTTCCAGAATGATTAACTCATCGCTGATTAATATCATCTCTGAGGCATTTTGAATTTTGCGACTAGACTGTGGTGTGGGATGTTGTCACTGTAATGTCTGGTTGAATGTGGGCAGTTCCCACAGTGGTAGTATTTTGCCTTGTGTTTAGCAGATGACACTTCTGTGTCTTCATTTAAATTAGTGTATTTTATTCATTTATATACACGAAAGAAGATAGAAAAATAAGAAAACACTGCAACAGCATTGATTTGCCATCATTTGAAAGTAGATGAATGGGCAGAGTATCATTCAGAGTGATCATTTTAGGACAATTACAAAATATAATACATCACGTCTTGTACCATAGTGGCTGGTGGACATATTTTAACTCTGGGATAATGGTACTAGCACTGAAAATATACAATGGTCATCCAAATGGAGAGCATATACATGCTGAAACAAAAATGCAACAAATAACTGGTAAAGGTTAAATATCACTTTTATAAACATACTAACTCTGCTTGTCTTTGAAGTATGCACAGCTGTGTATTACTACTACCTGTGCTCAGACTTAAAAACTAGCTTGAGGACAATCCTAAGAATTTCATTGTTCCATCAAGACTGCTTACTAATCTACCACTGGAAAGACATGAAAACTAAAAATATTACACTTATTTTCTTTTAAAAAAATTAATAACTTACCAAACAGACTTAATTTATTTTTATTGCCAGATCATTTTCTCATATAACTTTCCCACCCAGTCAATTGATTTACAACATCTTTCGAGATTATCATGCTGACACTTACCATGGCATGGCATTGCAACAGTGAGATCTACATTGATCTTAAGTTTACTGCTGAAGTCAGAATCAGGAACAAATCTAAATCTGAAGTTTGCATCCAGGTAGTGGGAAATCTCAGAATATAACAACCATACAATAAGACAACACGACACCACAGAGACTGCAAAGAAAGTGACAATAATCAAATAATCTAACAAAGTTATACAGAACAATCATTTCTCCTGTAATGTAGTGCCATGTGGCCTCATACTATGAAGGAAGAACGTAAAGTGAGAGCATATTAAAACAATGTGCTCTGAAAATATTCAGACCTATAAAATGGTTAATTAAATGGCGAGTGGAACATATTATGTAGTGAAGAATAACGCTGAGTTACAGTCTGCATCATACTGTGAAGGTTGCAACATCAACATGACATCAACATATGCAACAATGCATATAATGAATTTCTAGATACTTTTCAGTATTATTATGAAATAGCAATACCAAAAAAATGGGTAAAAAGTAAACAGCATGAAAACAAATGGATTACCTCAGGTATAAGGGTATCAGGAAATAGACTTCGATTTCTTAATAGGCTAATGAAAGAAGGGAATATATCAGAAGAATTTAAAAAATACTATGGTCAGTACAAGAAAATTTATAACAAAGTGATCAGTGAAGCAAAAAAATTATCTAATAACATACAAATAAGAACTTCCGGAAATAAACCAAAGGCTATGTGGGACCTAATAAAGGAGGAGCTAGGCAGTCGGAAAAAAAATAAAAATATTGAAATAAACACTGAAGGAGGAAATACACAGGATCCAAAAATTATAGCAAATGTTTTCAATGAATATTATACTAGCATTGCACACAAAATCTT